AACTCATCAGGAGAGGACAAAGGCCTGCCAATAATCTGGCCCACAACACTATGCCTTTCCTATCTCTCTGAAGCTCCGTCTGTACATGCGCGTTCCATGCTCAAACACATCCCAGAGTTGCCTTCTCAGCTCCAAGCATCACCACCTCCCCCAGCCAGTACGGTTCCGTTGAGTTTGCTCCCCGAGGAAGCAAAGTCACGTGCCACGTCGAAAGCTCCGATCTCTCCCATCCATGAACGAAAGTCAACTTCACCTTTCCCCCTCCGTGCATACAACAAGCCCATTCAACCGCCATCCACACTCTCACGTCTGCCTACTTCAGAAGCACTGCGTACTTTCCGGGCACTAACTCTTTCGTCATCTTCTCGACATCTTCGAGAGGCAACTTCTGAAGTGAGCGCATATGTCGAGAGTGTCGCGCGCGAGCGTGAAAGAGAGCGGGAGCGCATGAGACGGGAAAAAGAGATCAATAGCATTGGGAAGCAACTTCCACTTCCTATCCCCTCGACTTCCACTCAGGTTCCCTCGCCTGTCGCAGAGCCATCTGCTCCAACAGCGATGGTTACTTCCCCGACGCTGGATCGTACACAGAACGAACCTCTTCCCAATACACCTATTACTTCCCTTCCAGATGAGGACGAGGATGAGGAGGAGCTGCACCCCGATGCTGACGTTTTTGGAGACCCCATTCCTCCGGATAACTCTACCCCGATGGATACTGGTCATGTTGAGCTCACACATCCGACCTTCCCAGAGCCAACGTCTGCGGTTTCCGTTCCACCCAGCAGTGAAAGCGTCAATGATGTCTTTGATTCTTATCAGACCTTCGACCAGACGTGGGCTCAGCCGCAAGGGGATTTCATGGGCATGAATATAGGCTACGAAATGAATTTCAATATGCCGATGGATAATGTGAACCGGACAGCTGGTCCAGGACCTGTGGATGACTTCACCATGGATGAAGACTTCGCCTTCACAGATGACGATTTCAATTTCTTCGATGGTCCTTCTGCCGGGGCAACCGCCGGAGGGTTGCCTGCTTCTACCCTATCCTCATCTCTTCCTATTCCATCAAACTTGATGTCTGCCCTTACGCCCACCAGTGCTGCTCTATCGGCACTAGGTATATCGCCACCTGCAGCAGGGGACTTCATCAATGGTCCATATACTGTTCCTCAGCCGAGTGGCATAGGGCAATCTCATAGTTCGCCATGGTTTTCTCAACAATTTGGTGAGGGGTTCACACCTGTCGAACCCATTGCTGGTACCTCCGATGTTCCAGCATCCTCGCCGCCAAGAACTTGTTCCGTACCTTCCACTCCGGCAGTGCGACTATCAGAACAGGAATCTTCCCCCCGACCCGAGAATCGAAGTTCCTGGCAATCTAGATCGGTACAATCGAATTTTGAACCAGTCCCATTCGCGCCCAGTCATTCTGCTGCGGATGAGAAATACACTAGGGGGAAATTCGCCCTACCATCATTGTCCCAAGATGAAGATGATGCCGATGGCATTTACTTCAACCATCCCGCCAATAATGGACACGCCGGCTGGAAGTTGCAATATCAGAAGGCTACAGATCCCAGAGTAGCGATTGTACGAAAACTGATTGGGCAGAAGCGTAGGTCTGGCAGACAAGAAGGTAGATTCACAAAGGTTTCAATGGCATGGGAGCGAGAGCACGAAGAATGGGCCAGTAGTTCTCCGACTGCAGTTGATGAAGATTCCTCGTCATCGAAGTCTGACTCAGACTTGGATGACAATGACTGGATGGATGAAGATAGCGTAAAGTCTACATCACGTCCGGTCACCCCTCCACCTACATATCTTCCGTTGGGACCATCGTTGATACAAACACACTTCCAACACTCGCGCCTTCTTCCACTTACAAGGCCTCTCCGACCGCCAGGACTTCCGGAGCCAGACATAGCCACTATAGCAGCGCCTATGTCGGTGCCGACTCCTGTATCGCCTGCTGCGATCTTTGGTGCCTCAGAGAAGCCCAAATCCTTGGAAGCTGCCGCCCAGATACTCGTCAAAGAAGTTGCAGAGAATCCGATGTGGGCGGAGACATGGCGTTCGTACACCACTGCCAATTCCCATTCTATCAGGACTACGTCCGAAGTGTGGCAGATCGAAGCTCGCAAGGTCCTTTCTCTGTTCAAAGGAATCGGGTGGACCTCGTCCCCTCTTGATTTGCAGGTCCTACTCCGTCCCGGTAATTTCTTGGATAGTTTGGCTGAGAATGTAGCTGACCTCAATTGCATAGATCATCTTATGACTGACATGGAATATCTAGAACAATCGAAGCCTCCTTTGCTGACAATTGCAAAATCGAGCACGGTCATGCAGCTCCTGCCAACTGCCTTACCCTTCTGGGAGAAACTTGGATTAGCTCCGCGTTCTGGAAAGAAGGACCTGACGGCGTTTGCATTCTTTGAAGCCAAAAATCAGGTGACCCAGAACCACGTTGTGACATGGTTAGACAGAGTATCCGAAGCCTATGCGGTGCGTTAGGTCTGTCTCGCTTCTCGTTACTCAATTCTGATCGCCCACGTAGGCAAGGCATTTAGGTTCGCATGTAGCAGGGTCCATCGATACATATACAACGAATGGCGTCGTTCCAGTCCAGTTTGAATCCTTCCGCAAGACATTGGGTGGGTTAGATACGATTTAAGACTACCACAGCATGCTGACTTGGCTTTAGTTTCCTTCATGGACTCCCTTGTACTCGACCATGCGCCATTCGTATTTTACATCGTTACCCCGTCCGACATACTCAACCTATCGTCTCCAGTCCTTCGCCTGCTTCTATCTGCCGTCAAACGTGGAATGAAGTCTCGCTTAGGTGCCCAAACTCTGTTTCACTTCGTCCCTGAACATGTCATAGTTTCTGGACTCAGTGATCCCAATCTGCTTTATATAGCCCTTCCTCGTTTCGTGAATACGGTGTACGACAGAGCACTCCGTGCTGTGGATAGGAATATCTCGCCTACGGTCCTATATGATTCGTACTACGTGCAAGCGTATCTTCAAGATCCTGCATTCGCTCTAGCCAGGCCTTCAAATACGAATGTCAAGTTCGTTCAAGAATCTTATCCCCGCTCTCTGGATGTTGTCGATAGGCATATGCTACTTCACATCGCATATCAAACTTCATCGTGCGGCAAGTGGTTGTTAGCTACATTCGTTGATGAGCGAGGGGAAGCCCACGATCTCAAGGTTTGGCATATACCTGATGAAGCAGAGGAGACCTTTATCGTCACACACGTGTGGTCGTTCACTCTTTCCTTGGCCAGGAAGGCTAGCGTCGAATGGAGAGTAGTCATTGCGAAGGCAGGTTGGATGGCTGAAGTTGAACTGGATAGTAAGACCGATTCTCTCTTGACCGTGCTTTCAATTGAACTTTTATTACTTTAGTGTGGATCGATCATCTAGACTTGACCTTGCCCACAGGAAGGGATGTCCCAGCGATGCACATTTCAATTCTTTCAGTTCCTTTGGACGATGCATGGACCTTTCTGTCGCCGGAATTTTCTACGTCCATTGACAACCGACCGACATCCCCCAGCCGGAATAACAAGAACCATCCAGGTGCCATCTTTCGAGATGTATCTGGAAATGGTTATGTTTTGTTTCCTACATTGCCCATCCTTTTTCCCCGAACGGCACACACAAATCCGGATGAGACCCCTTACATACCAGAAATAAGAGAACCACCTCAAGACGACCTTGTGTTACGTTCTCTGTGCTCTAGCGCTCTTATCCACGTACCCTGCGGCTCCGATTACACCAAGATCTCCATGCTTCAACTTCATCTCTTACATGCAGTGCATACTCCCGATTCTTCATACACATCCAACCCAAGCGATACTATGCAAGACATCTCGAAGAACTACCGGGAGCTGGCCGAACTTGCTAAAGCATGCGGCGTACGCCCAGATTCGCGTTTGCCATACCATATAGCCACACTCGAGAACATGCGGATGGTTCTCTCTCCCACCGATCTCCCAGCTACATAAATTTGACGACATAACCATTGCAGCAGCCTATTTACGAATCATGTTTAACGACATATCACGACTGTATTTCAACTATTCGTCCCATATAATACGCTCGATACCACGATACCATTGTCTGCTTCAGACCTTGTTGAACTGTTTAGGAAACTTCATTTAGGTTGTTCTGCTAGCATAGCTCCCATTGGTTGCAATCTTCCTAGGTCCTTCTCTGTTATGAATCGTTTAGCAGTCAGAATGTACACATAGGATGTAGAATACAACATATATTACAGGATGGTATACCACGCCAACGGAACAAGGGCTCTCGTCTAATACTAGTATTGGGGGCCAGAGCTGCTAGTCCATTTCGGTATGATCTCGAGGTCGATATCTTATGTTCCTAGCTTCAAGCTCTGCCTCGACATCTTCTGGGATACGACCGCGCACCCTGACGGCGTACATACCGCGGACATACTTGGCTGAGGGTAGGATCATGAGCATTGCATAATGAAGATATGAAAGCCAACGTACAAGTCCTCTGCCACCTTGCCACCCAACTATTCTCGGGGTCAATGACAGCGATGGCGCCTTCAAAATGTGTCGTTGTACACGCGGAAATCCGGTCGGGATAGCCTTTCATCTGTATAGGGTGATGAGTGATCATCCCATATGGCCAGAGGCTGTTTTACAGACCTGCATTAGCTCCTCGCAGTTAGGGCACCCATGCTTCCTGAAGTCAGCCGGTGTTTGGATTATGGAACAAAGGAGACAGGCTCGCAGTTGTTTCGCTCGTGGCTGGCTAGGGATAGACGCTGTTTGTTGAGACATTTAGCAAAGATACGAGACGTTATTGCAAAGTCGAATGTCGTCAGCTCTGAGGTACAACTGAGAGATATGTGGTTTGTGGGACGCGGTCAGTGCTGATTGAAAGTGAAGCTGAAGGCTAACAAAGCATTGTTGTGCAGTGGTCATACCTTATATATAAGTTCATTCAAATAAGGCACTATGGCCGAGTGGTTAAGGCGGTAGATTCGAACCAAGCATTTGAACATCTACTACGCATTGCGTGCGCAGGTTCAAATCCTGCTGGTGTCGTTATTTTTTTCTGTTCTGAACGGGAGCGAGCTTTTTTACTTCCACAATCAAGCTTACTATGAAATTGCAACTTTGGATTCAGGAATGCTCTGTATCGAGGACATCATCTTCGATAGCCCGGGTTTGATTATACATCGTCCCCAAACCCCCGGCCCCGTACACCAAATGAGACCACCGTTGCGCTGTCTGCTCTGCTCGTCCTGCGATACATTCCAACGTGAGCTTGAGATGATCCGCCTGACTGTAAGGAGAGCATTAGAACGATCACGATACATGAACGGGAGAAATATTATCATCACTGACAGTTGTGTTGCTTTGATCGCCCTGGTTGGAGCGGGTGTTCAGACTCTGCGATGTAAATGGAGGTTAGTCATGGCCATAATCCTACAAGCTGGCAGCATTGACCGGAACAGTCCATGTATGTACCTCTGTAGACCCATCGTTGGTTGTCGGATCAAAGGGGGGAAGGTACACTTTGCCTTGTGCTTCACATTGAGCTCGCAGCATGTTCCTGGCATTCAGCCTAGAGACCGATTAAACCCATGTCACACCTAGAGTAGACTCCATACATACACTCCCAGGAAGGCGTTGGAATGTACTATTTGATAACATGAAAAACTCGTCAGTTGCAAAGCATGATGGTCTGTAATGACTACTTGCGATTTACTGCTATCGGCACAAACCCAGCGAAAACCAGGCTCGACTTGAGAGGAGGCAGGACAAACTAACGCGTAAGTTCATCAGGAAAAACCTCATTTTCCAAATCTTGCCAATTGTAGATAATTTAGATATGATGAGATATAATTGGCATTTTTGTCTCAGTTTTCTCTAAA